TCTGCTGGGGCTGCACATCTGGACGCTGACATCTGCAATCTCTTGGGGCTCTAGCGATCTCACCATCACCATGTTCACATGTCCAAATTGGTCTCCCCCGACATATTTAAGACAAACCCCTGGAGGCCAGGCCTCTGCCCCTGAGTTCAAGCAAAAGAAAAAAATGTTAGACAATCAGTGATCCTATGCTGGGTGCGGTTTCTTACAAACTGTAGAAGCAGCCTTCTTCTTTGTCTCACATACATACAAACCTACCCACAGATCCCTGAGCTTTATAATGCCTCACGTGATAGATCAGGATCAACAAAACTTCTGACCATCAGTCTATCTTTATGGGACCAATAAGTCTAACCCTATGAGAATGCACATATGCAAAATCAAACCAGCTGCTCAAGAAGAAATGTGTTTTGGGTGACCCGGGAAAGGACACACGTTATGCTGAATCTAAGGAACTGACGAATGCTGTCTGTGCAGAGCCATGGAGTGAAGCACGGGCCCACATCTCTGGAGTCTGCTTTCTCTGCTCAAGTAACACATCCATCATCTTCCCTGGAAATTTTTAAGCTGACAAAGTAAAAATATATCTGATCGTTCCAGCTTTTCTCTTGAAGAAAGAGGAGGAAACATATAAGAACTTCTACAATACTAATCTCACTTTAAAATTGCCTTTTTTGGGGCCAGCAGGTGGTGTGGTGGTTAACAGGAGCTAGACTCCCACATGGCCAACTGTGGCTCAGGTCCTGGACCCAACAGCTTGAAAATCATGCCACGCACGTGTGTGCACATGCTCGAAATCCCAAGAGGAGAATAGAGGAGGAGGGACTACGGCACAGTCATCCCCACCAGAGAATGATCTCTCAATTTTCCTTCTCACTGTCTCTCTCTGGCAAAAGCACATGCCCTATGGGAAAAACCTTAAAAAAAATTGCCTTCTGCCTGCTATATGACATTTTCTGGGGAGTCCTTAACTATGAAATACCCAGGCTCAAGAGACTCTGCAAACACAAGTAAAAGTCCAGATACCAGGTTCAAACAATGGTGGAGAAATTACGAACAAGGGGTGATCTCCTCTAATAACATCAAAGAACTGTGTGCTCTGAGACCAGCGGTTGGCGTAATGGCTATGTCGCTGGACTCCCATGTAGTCGACCACGGTTCACGTCCCGGACCCGGGGGCTTAAACTCACGCTGGGCAGGTGTGCATGTGTGCCCAGGATCCCGAGAGGAGGACGGAGGAGAAGGGATTGCGGCGTGGCCATCCCCCCTGGGGGGGTGATTTCTCGCTTTCTGTCTGTCTCTCTCTGTCTGTCTGGCGAGTGTACGCACTCTATAGCAAAAACCTCTCCAAAAAAAAAGAGAACTGTGTGCTCAGAAGCAATGGCATCAGTCAGAGGTGCCTGTGCAAGGGGAAGAATGGGGTATGGAGAAATGGTTTCGGTGGAATTCTTTTCCTTCATTGGAAGTGACGAAGTTCTTATTTGGTACCTACTCCTGCGTCCTATTTTCATGTAAATGATCTAAAATGAGAAACCTATGGGTGGACTAGTTACGACTAGTAGAGTGGTGCGTGTAGCCATACACTGGATACAACCTTGCCTGTGAGGTCTCTCCAATATGCGGTAACTGATATATTCCTTTTTTAAAAATTATTTTTACTTAACTTATTATTATTATCATTATAATTTTTTTAAATTTGACTAGAGAAAGAGTGAGAAAGCAAGCTGCCAGGTCCGAAACTAAACCACAGCCAGCCATGTAGGAGAGTCCAGCGTCTTTAACCACCAAGCCACCTGCCCACTCCAATATATTCCTTTTTAACTGTAAACAGAAACTTCTACATATCCTTTTTGGGAATATATATATACGTATTTTTTTAATTCACTATAAAAATAAATTACTATGGAAAAGTGGACATGACAAAGACTCACAGGACAAAGGGTGCTTACAATTTATCTCCTACCAGCCAGGACTCTAGGATACCTTAGTTCCTTGCTCTGGAAGTGCCAGGCTGGTTTTGACATACCTGATGGCTCACTGCTGGAAAGGAACTAAAGAAAGAAAAGCAACCAGAATCCTGTTGAGATCTCAGCTCAGTTATGAACTGGGCCCTCTGTGGCCACTAGGTCTTAAGGGGTAGCAGCTGAAGCAGTGGCCACTAGGTTTTGGCACACCCTCTTTTAAAAACCTGCTGGTGGGCCAGTCAGTGGTTAGAGCAGCTGGATCCCACATGGTTGACTGTGTCGTTCAAGTCCTGGACCCAGTGGCTTGAAAAGCGCTGGGCACTGTGTGCATAAGTGCCCAAAATCCCAAAGAAGAGGGAAATGGAGAAGAAATTGAGGTATGACCACTCCCCATGGGGGGATGCTTTCTCACTCTCTGTCTGTCTCTCTCAGACAAGTGCATACACACTCTGGCAAATTAAAACAAAAACCAAACCAAACCACCTGCCCACAAAGTGCCCTCTTAGTGTTATAAAAGGCAATCAGGTGAAATGACTGGGTGATATATTAGCAATCTGTGTACATTCTGTTTTTCATCTCTGGAGCCTTGGCATGGTATTTGTCTTAGGTCAAGAAAAACAGTAGCTGACATGAAGCTACTTAGAAACGTCAGTCTCTTTAAAAACCAAAATCTAAGAGAGAAATTATACTCCTATAAGGCTGAATTTATAATTGTTCTTTAAAACACACATATACAAAATATCTATAACAAGACAATGTTTGTTTAGTGAAAAACCCAAGAATGTATGTTTTTTTTTTTTTGAGAGATTTTCACTATAGGGCGCGTGCGCTCGCCAGACAGAGAGAGACATTAGAGACAGAAAGCAAGAAATCACCCCCCAGGGGGGATGGTCACGCCGCAATCCCTTCTCCTCCATTCTCCTCTCGGGATCTTGGGCATGCACGCACACGCGCCCGGCGTGAGTTTTAAGCCACCGGGTCCGGGACACGAACCGCGGTCAACTACGTGGGAGTCCAGCTACATAGCCATTACGCTAACTGCTGGTTCCCAAGAATGTATGTTTTTGAACTTTCAAAAAAAATAAGGTAAACCAAAACTGAGTGAGAGAATGACTCAGCTGTCCTGGGCAGACAACCACAAACAGCAGAGATGGTTGGGTCTGTAAGATGTGCAAAAGAGGGAGCGTTACTGAAGTCCATGGAAACTGAGTTGGCTGTAAAATAGCAAATGGGTAACATGCAATGATTTTGTTAGGGTCCTGCTCTTCCTGGTAATCCTACTGGTATCAAGTACTGCTCAATCTGGGCACTTGGAGAGTCTCTTGAAGAAAACAGTGAAGGGTTATCTACCCTCAGCTCTGAAGTGTTAACTTGCTATGATGTGAGTAAATAATCATCTGCCTTCTGGGAGCTGTTACACACACACACACACACACACACACACACACACACACACACACACACCTTTTCTTACAATCACAACTGTTAGGTCAGATAACCCTGAAAAAGATACTGATGGCTGAGGGGAAAACTGTTGAGTGGAGGACCTGGCTAAGCATACCTAAAATGCAGAATTGAGGGACCAGTAGGTGACATGGTGGTTAAGGCGCTGGACACTCCCACATGGCCGACCATGCATCCCAGACCTGGTGGCTTGCTTTCCCTCTCGCTCTCTATCTGTCTCTCTCTCTCTCTTTCTCTCTGGTCAAATTAAAAAAGAAGTGAATGAATAAATAACAAAAAAAAAATGTGGATTGGAGATGTATGATAAATAGGGCTTTAAATCAAGTCTCAGTTACAAATTGGCTTAATGGAGTAAAGATCTAGTGAAGAGAAAAGACTAATCTATTTTTTATTTTTTGAGGTTTTTTTTGCTATAGGGCGTATGTACTCGCTGAAAGTCAGAGAGATAGAGAGTGAGAAATCATCCCTGGGGGATGGCCACACTGCAACCCTTCTCCTCCAGTCTCCTCTCTGGATCCTGGGCATGCACACACACATGCACCCTGTTTAAGTTTTACGTTGCCAGGTCTGGGACTCAAACCATAGGTGGCTACATAGGAGTCTAGCAATATAACCATTATGCCATCTGCTGGTCCCAAAACTAATCTGTTTTATGACTTTCCATGTTAAGTCTAACAATCAAGTATTAAGATTAATGCTGGGACCAGCAGTTAGCATAATGGCTATGTCGCTGGATTCCCATGTAGTCGACCACAGTTCGAATACTGGACGCAGTGGTTCATGCTGGGTGTGTGTGCATGTGTGCCCAAGATCCCGAGAGGAAAATGGAGGAGAAGGGATTGTGGTGTAGCCATCCCCCTGGGGGGTGATTTCTTGCTTTCTGTCTCTGTCTCTCTCTGTCTTTCTGGCGAGTGCACATGCCCTATAGCAAAAATCTCTCAAAAAAAAGAAAAAGAAAAAAAAGATTAATGCCATGATTTTGTAGTGATCATAAAATATTACTTTATGTTTAACACAACGTAAGTGAAAGTAAAATCATAAAGGCCAGCTGTGGCAGCACAGCAGTAATGCAATGCTCCAGATGCTGAAGCCTCCTGGAACATTCTCTGGTTCATGTCCTGAGGTCTCCCTGTACATAATAAGGACATATATGTACACCCATGATCCTGGCAAGCCAGGACTGGGGGTAGATTGACATAAAGACCCTGTTGTGTGGGTGTGGGTGTGTTTCTAAAAAAAAAAGAAAAGAAAAACAAACAAACAAACAAAACTTGGCGATTTTGATACAGTGGAGTGCACCATACAAATCAAATAGAAGTCAAATCATTCCAGAAAACTTGGGGCTTTCTAGGTCTAAGTGATGACACAAATAGTTTGGAGGCAGTAAAGAACATCCGAACACCACTACAGAAGACAAATATTGAAAATCTTCTTTTAACTTCTCTGATTGTGGAGACTTCACTTCAAATTAAGCTCCATGAAAGCAGAGACCTTCAAACTTTCTTCCCCGCTCCCCATACCTAATAGATTGACTTGAACAAAATAAAATGTGTTGAATAAAAGAACTATCTTCTCTACAATCATCCCGAAGAATAAGGTAGAAAGTTAACTATTTTAATGAGCCAAAAGAAAAATGTGGAAAATAGTTCTTCTTTCTCAAGTTTTTTTCCAAGTCTTGTCTTATATCCATTTCTATGCAATTAAAAAAAATAATA